TATCTAACCCCTTCCACGCCAATTATTTTGGAAAAAACGTTTCATTTTCAGATGAAATTTTATTTGTTTTTAATATAGTAACTAAGAAACTAAGGCACCTTGAAGTACTCAAGTGGTGGCTAATACCTCTGCGAGATGTATAAGATGACAATTGGACTAGGTTTAAGCCGAGAAGGGAATAAAAAGAGTCAAGATTGACATATAAACATGTCTATAGCTGTTTTTTAACTTTATGTTTTGGATTTTGGCTGGTTGGTTGGTTGTTTTATGGCATGTCAAAATATCAGTGGGTCATTTAATCCCAACAAAATTTTTGAAATAGATTCATAGCGATAGTTTGATAAAAAAAAAAGTGTGTATGTATACATATATATTTGAACCATTTTTCAATTACTCATATTTTTTAGTACAATCCAACTTCTTTTAGGAAATTTACAATCTTGGATGGTTTTATTTTCGTAAAAAGTTTTTTTTTAAAATTACTCACTTGGTAATATTTTGTTCGCACTAGATCAAAGTCTACACACCCTAACAATATATATTTCACTGTAAATTTCTCTTGGCATGTAGTGCATATCGGGGACTCTGTGCCCTCTAGTATTAAGTATTGCGGATAATTTTCCTTCAAAAATTATTGTTGGTAATAATTTTTTTTATTACAAAGTATTTCTGGTTTTAAAACCTATTTTTGGACAAGTTTGGGTGTTCACTATTTGCCAATAGTTGGAACCTTAACAGGTGTTACCACATCAGGTCAGGGTGGACCTGGGAACACCAGCAATTAAGAGGTGGCTCCACGCCCCTCAAAATCTGATCAGAGGCCTTGTTGTTGAACGTAGTTTATTGTCTTACCCTGGACGCGGATGTAGTTTATCATCATACCCAGGACGGTTATGTTTTGGACGTGTTTACTCGTCCATGAAAAAGACACATTCCATAAAAACGTATATACACGTCTATGCCGGGGAAAGGGTTAAAGCCAGAAAATATTTTTAGAGTGTAAGAATTTTTTTTAGATATGATAATGGTTTAGTGATACAAGTCTTACTAATTAACCCATAACTGGCGTAAAGAAGAGGTGGATTCATGCCTTTCCCAACGGTATTTGCGTGTAAGTGAATATAACGAACCCAACTGGAATTAGAACTCGGCTCTCCGATTAACAATTCCAAGCTATTATCTATTACACCACTCGCACATTAAAGCTTACACCACTTGGTATCCCGAAGTTGAAACACACACACACACACACACACACACACACACACATATATATATATATATATATATATATATATATATATATATATATATATATATACACTTTTATATATTTCTCTGTGTTATGACAGTTCAGGACGTGGGCGAACATGGCTCTCCCCAACTGCCTCTTCTTTGTAGTTCTAAGTAAATTTTCTCTTTTTCCAATCACTCATACTCCCTGTTCTGCCAATTATTTACATAAGTTCGTCAGGTAGGTTACCCATTGCTTACCTTTGCCCCTCTTGTCCAAAATATGTCCTGTAAGTGTCAAATATTCCAAAAACACTTTCCTATCTCTGATTCTAAAAATAAGTGTCTTTTTTGTTTCTATTTTCATTAAAACTTCCTCAATCATGTTCAATCTATGAAAAAAATTAGCGACATTCAGAATTCAAAGATTTTTAAAAGCAAAAGAATTTTAGAAAAAGATATATATATATATATATATATATTATATATATATATATATATATATATATATATATGAATTTAAATAAAAGGTTACGTGGACACAAAAGAGATGTTTTTTACAAAACAATACACTCTTTTTAACCTTCCTATTGAGAATTGTGTCACTGGGGTTTCTTCTTCAGTTAAAATCGGACTCGATGTTTTTTTTTTACCTTCTTGGAAATACAAGATGAAACAACAATCTTCTTCTGGGTTCACACCTGCCTGTTTAGCCGCTATAACCCACAGGAATCACTTCTTCCGGGTGTTCCAGCGTGATAGTTCCTATCATAACAGACGCCTCTTTGTGGCCTGCTAGTAATAATTGTGTCCTCATATAGGCTAAGCCTTTGTTCAATGACCGAATGAGACATCGTATAGCACCTACCAAGTTTGCTTCTCGTGACTATTGGCGGCTCTGTTCTAAGGTGTTAAATAAGAGTAAGTCTCTTATTCCTCCTCTCTTCACTCAATTTTAAGTGTTAACATCTGATCTGAGTCTCTATGATTCCATCTATGGTTTCTGCTATCATCTCTAAACTGAATTCTCAAAAACCATGTAAACTTGATGATATCGAAACAAGAGTGCTTCTGAACTGGCTCCTGTTCTCTTTAAACTTTACGATAAATGACTTGTTGCTTTTTCTTTTCCTGCTTGTTGGAAATCCTCTTCTGTAGTTCCAGGTTTTAAGAACTTTCGAACCGTCTGATAGCCTATTAACCTTCTGCATCTTTTTGGCCATGTACTAGACTCTCTAATTAACCTTGAATTGGTTAAGCATCTAGCATCACAAGCTCTTATAATATGGCTTTCGATTCTTTAGGTCAGCTGCTGATGTACTATTATTGCTGAAGGAATCTATGAAGCGTTAGATAAAAATGGTGAAGCTTTAGTTGTTGTGTTGAACATCTCGAAAGCATTTGACAGGGTTTGGCATGCTGGTTTTCTTCATAAGTTGAAAGGTTATGGGAATTATGGATGAATCTTTGATCTGATTCAATCTTTCTTAACAAATAGTGAAATGAAAGTTTTCTTGAACGGCCATTCTTCTACATTTATTTTGCCTTAATGCAGATATTCTCCATCTTTGGAATTAAGTTGTTCTTAATTTACATCAACGACTTTCTGGTGTCATCATTTCTCATCTCGGAATTTGTGCTAGTGACACGAATATTTATTCCTGTCTTGATGGTAAGTCTGGAAATTTGATTACATCAAATTGGCAGCTGAGCTAAAAAGTGACCTACAATCTGTTGTTAACTTGGGCAAGAAATGGCTTGTTAATTCTAATGCTTCCAAAATAAAACTGCTCTCTTTTAATCGTCTCAGAGATAACCTTTTTATTGGTCTTCCATCAGCATAGCTGAAGATAACCTATAGGAGAGTGACTCTTTGAAACTTCTCGGGCTAACATTTTCCACTGAGATGAAGTGGAAAGATTATATTGAATCCATTGCTATGTCTGCTGCTAGAAAAGTTGGTTCACTGTGTCGTGCCAGAATCCATCTTACTCATTTATAAATCTACCGTTCGTTTATGCATGGAATATTGTTGCCATATTTGGTCTGGTACTTCTGCTATGTGTTTAAAAGATTACTGACGGAATACAAAGAAGTATCTGCAATGTTATCAGTCCTCACCTGGCGTCTCGACCTTAGTCACTTTCCCACCGCCTGAACGTAGCTTCCCTTTGCCTTTTCTATAAATATTGTCATATTTATTGTTCTGATAAATTTTACTCTATAGCACCAAGACTTTATGAATTTAAGTGCAGTACTAGATTGACGGCTAAGTCTCATCATTTTACAGTTGAAATGTCTAGATGCAACCGTAGGTTCTATGCTAACAGTTTCTTCTCTCACACTTTTCACTAATGAAACTCTCTTCCTGCACTTCACTTAACTTTGATTTTAAAAACATTCAATGTCAATCGTTATCTTCTGTCTTCTTAATTCCTGTTCTTTTATTCTCATCTCTCCCAAATAACGTTTTCTTTTTTTCTTATTTTCTCACTTTCAGTAACCCCTCGCATTTTAGTGGCTTTACTGCCTTACTTGGGAGGGGAATGATTAAAAAAATACACCCAATGCATTAATATCTCAATGTAAAGAGTCTAACCATAATTTGGATTTAAAAATACTGCTTTAATTAACAGAGAAAACAGTTTACTAAGGCGAAAATGTATAGAACTCATTGCTAAGTCATCCATGGTAAAAGTTCCACCTGTTTTGGTGGATCTTCTGTTGTGGAATATTTAAAAACAACAAACATAAAAAGAACGGAAGTTGCTGTCCATCAGATAAAAAAGGTGGCAATCCTCCGTGGACCATTTAAAAATTCATTCCTCGCAGTGGATTGGTTGTTACGAACATCCAATCAGATGCGCGGAAAACGTGATTGGGGTCGGCTTGGTGATGGGGTGTATGATGTTGAAAGACCCGAAATTCCCTGATAAACCAAGTCAATTTACATCACTGACGACTACCTCCGGCGCCTATTGAAGAGCGTATATTTAAAAAAAAATAATAATAATAAATTCTTGATCTTGACGGAATTTTATCCGAGACACTCTTCCTTTAGAATCCATGAGATATAATGTGGATTTGAAGGGTTGATTTTGGGAGCAAAACTGTATCCACCATTGGAAAGATTGGCGCAATATGATCATTTTTGCATTTCCATATTAGCCTTTTACAGATTAAATAAAGTTTAACAATTAACAATAACCGCAATATGCGTACAGCATTTGAAGAACATTTAGTGTCAAACAGACATACAAAACGCTCGAAAAAAAAAAACGATTACAAATCACCTTAATCGAGTGGAGTTTACTGTAAAGTTACATATGTAAAGTCACTCATGCGACGACCAAAGTTTTGAGAGACGATGAATTTTGCGCAAAAGGCGAACTTGGGAACACAGAACAAAAGATCTGATTAAAAAAAAGCCAAAAAAAAAAAAAAAAAAAGGTTAAAGGAAAAAAAAAACGGTTTAGCTCTAACACATTGAAAAGACGAACTGATCAGACCACTTGGAAATGATTACGTTGATAAACGTAAGAGAGATTAAGTCGAAGTTGAAAACAAAAAAAACGATGCTGTGCGACTCTCCGAATGTAAATCATACTAACGATATCGGACAATGTTTATTGTGACTCCATGACAACGGCCAAAATACAAGCGCGAATTTAGTACCAATCTATCATCGATCCCTTTATTAACATATAGTTTACTGGAGGCGTTGGATTGGCCAGGGTTAGAGATGAGGTGCTGATAAGGTTAGTGAATCATGAAGAAAAGAAACATGGAAATAAATAGAAGCAACAAAACGAAACAGATGATAAAAGTACCATATTTATGAGGATTTGGGATATTGAACAGAAGTAACGATAGCAAGATGTGACGTTGACCAATGGAGAACAAAGACTGACATAGATAGATATGAATAGACTGGAATAGGTAGAAAGATAGATAGATAGATAGATATGAACAGAACGAGATAGATAGAAAGATAGATAGATAGATAAAGACTTAGACATAAACAGATAGATAGATAGATAGATAGATATTAACAGATTGAGATAGATACATAGAGAGATAAATACACAGATAGATATGAACAGACTGCGATAGATAGATATGAATAGACTGACATAGACATTAACAGTCTGAGATAGATAAAGACTGAGACATAAAAAGATAGATATGAACATATATATATATATATATAGATAGATAGATAGATAGATACAAACTGACTGAGATAGATAAATAGACATTAACAAGCTGATATATATATATATAAAAAGTGAAAAATTGGAAGTCAACACTTAGAGGCGACAGGCTGTTTCATGCTAGACGCAATCGTCAGGCTAGACGCAATCGTCAGGTGGCCTGACGATTGCATATATAACCTGAAACAGCCTGTCGCCTCTAAGTGTTGACTTCAATGTTCACTTTTATATTTACACTCTATTTCTGATATTGAGCACTTTATCATAAATATAGCACACCTTAAGAGTATATTTCTTCATATATATATATATATATATATATATATATATATATATATATATATATATATATATATATATATATATATATATATATATATACATAGTTATATAGATGTGTTTGTAACCCTGGGTTTCACGCTTTTGCGGTCCTCAGACAAACTGAATTATTAGGGAAAAAATTCTACTCCGTTTTGGGGTGGCACTCATACGTACGCATACATGCATACAGGCAGGTGTACATATTGTACGTATTGTAGTTCTCACAAACATATGCATATATGAACAATGCGGGGGCCAGGCACAGACACGATCGATTGTGTATACATACGCAGTTGTCGTCGTTTCGGTGTTGAGTTTCTGTAACTAATTTCTTTCCACAAAGGGTGGGGGGTGGAGGTTGTCACTTTCTTGTCATTTTCCAGATCGTTCGTTTATGTCGTTAATGGAATTATACTTTCTTACACACACATAGACACATGTATACATGTACATATATTTCTATCAACCTGGGTCTTACTTTGCTTAAGATGGGTTTTGTATATGAATACAGCTGTAAAGATATTTTTATTTTTATTTTTAATGTTGATTGCTTGTTTATTATAGACGATTGCACTTATATAGTCAAATTCCTAATTTATATTACTTACATACTTACTGGTATGTTTACGGAAAATTGGCACTAATTTTTATGGGGAAGGGGTGTATGAATGTAAAAGGAATGTGATCATGTTAACTATGGTAATGGATGTAGCAAGCATAAAGATGATGGTGAAATAGTAATGATAATAGTAGTAAAAATAAACAAATAATGATAAAAAATTAATGATAAATTAAAAATTAAAAGTTAAAATAGCAGTAGTGAATAGTAATAAATAAATAAAAAATAATGATGAAAGTGGTAATAAAAAATAATAGTGATGGTACCAGTGTTAGAGATAATGAATAAAAAATAGAAAATATTTAGAGTGGTGATAACAACAATGACAATAGCTGGTGATGATAGTAGTATAAATTATGATTTTTATATATATATATATATATATATATATATATATATATATATATATATATATATAGGCCACCCTACAACATGTTTGACACGCAGACTCACTCTGCACCTTTCTGACAACAGCTCAATTATATCTCATTTAAATATTCATGGAGACCTACCGGACACTATTCGTAACTTATTGACAACACTAATATAATAGCATCATCTACATGCAAAAAGGCTAAAAATAATGGAAGCCTTATTAATAAAAACAAGCAAACCAACACTTAATAATATTAACTTTGAACACGGACATAATATCTTGACCGTGTTTTGAAAAATGAAAACATTTTATAAAACATACATACAACAAACTATTTCTTATTTTAACAGTTCAAATATAATCCTTGAAAATGACTAAATGTATAGCCAAAAGCGCTCGGATAAAAAGGACATTCGGACAGTTTTTATATAATTTGTCATCAGAAAAGAAAAAAATTATTAGATCGCATGAGAAATTGTATGTAAAACTAAATAAAAGCACCTTGTCTGTCGTTTTCAATGAAATGTTCATGAAAGGATTGCTGCCTAAATACACAAATATATATATATATATATATATATATATATATATATATATATATATATATATATTATAGTAGCATAAATAATGGCAATATTAAAACTAAGACAATGGTAAAAAGTGTTACTAATCTTATGGGGGAGGTGCATGAAGTGATAATAATGGTAGTAGTATTCATTTTACGTTAGGTACATATGATGGTGGCGACAATCTTGGTAATTAATGTAGTGGTAGTCGTTATAAAATGATATTGAAGCGTTAGTGATTTATTTTCTCGCGTCCATAGGGGCGATGGTAGTTTATGTAGCCGTGCTGCTAACAATATCGCTCTGTATTTTTAATATATTATCCGTTTGATATGAACTGTGATAAGAGATATTTATTTTTGTGTCTGCATTTTGTAATTATTTCTGATCTTAGGTTTAGTAATCCCTTTTGTTGGGTGTGGTAAATTATTGCTACTTTTTCGTGTAGACAAAGTAGACATTTCTTTGTTAGTGCTGTTAGAGTATTTTCTGTTGGTGAATGAGAGGTCATGTATGTATTTTCTTTGCTTGAATGGTCCTTCTGTGGCTCCGATGTAGTACATTGTAGTGTTGTTTACGTTTGCCTTGGGTTTATATGCTATTTTGGTTTTCTGGCAGTTTCCTTGCAGTGGACATGTGGTTTTATTTCTGCAGTTGCATTGGAGGTCCTTGGTTGCGTTATTGTAGGCTGTTACTTTTTTGTTGAGGCTTTTTATAATTTGCTATATATTTTTAGTGCAACTGTAGCTAACTTATACGTTGTTTTTGCTGAATATTTTTGCTAGGTGTTCGTTGCGGGGAAGTGCTTTTCTATTAGGTTTAGAAGTCTCTTACCGATGTTTGTTTTAACTGATTTATTGTATGGTGGGTTAAACCAAATTATGTTTCTTTTTCTGTTTTTGCGTTTTTGTCGTCGAAGTGTGTATTGTAGCTGTTGCGTCTATCTACTTTTTCTTAGTGTGATGTCATATGGCATTTTCTTGCTGTTGAAAATGTCTATGTTTGATGAGTTTTCCGAGAACCAGCGGCTGATGGATATGGGTATTTGCTTGATGATTGAAGGTGAATGGTTGGATGATGTATGTACGTAAGTGCGGGTGTCATTACCTTTTCTGTACGGTTCATATGTTTGTTTGTTTAGGCTGAGAGTCTAAGAAGTTTACCAGTCTTGCACCTGCATTAATTTCTATAATAAATCCAATTGTTTTTAGAACATTTACTATTTTTCCCTAAATCTATCTATCTAGGGACCATTGGATTCTCTTATCATAATAATTATCATCTCTATATAGGTCCGTGTCATTTTTCTCCTTAATTCTGGCTAGGTATGAGCGGATGCGGATGCCTACAAAATCAATCGATCCATCACAGCTCCCCATCGTTACATCAAACAGCATCAGTAAATTTTACATGTTGTTGTGCTAGTTGTATATCGACGTTCAATATATTTTCCGTGACGTAGGGGTAAAAATTCACTATGTCGAACTGGTTAAATGTAGCTTTATTTTTGCCTTTTATTGCTGTGAACCAGTCGGTGACGGCTCTAGTATTTTCCCATTGTTAAGTTTGTGGTATTTTACTGTTATGAATTTTTGTTGTTCAGCTATGTGGCTTATCCTTTCGTCTATTTTTAGTTTGACGGTTATATCTTTGGCTTCCTGCTTCATCTCATTTTTTGCGCTTGCAGTTGTCTTATTATTTAATTGTGTGTGTTATTAGTTATGAGATTTTTGTGGGCTGTAGGTTCCTTTTTTGATATTTTCGTAGTTTTGTCAGCAAATATCAATACTTTTTGGAGTTCATTATTTTTTTCATGTACTTTATAAAGGTTTCCTAAAAATTGTCCAAATGTGTTTTTTTGAAATTTCTGATCATATTCGTCATATCATCCTCGAATTTCAGCATTTATTTACACTTAGGTAGGCATTTCCTTGTATTCAGGTTAAATGTCTCGAGTTTTTCAGTGTTCTGTTGTTTGTACTGTTGAGGGAGTAGTGTGCTTTGCATATCATCCTTCTGATAAGACTTTCGATTTTCTCGGAAATACATGAGAAGATTGGGTGGGTATAGGGATGTTTTCAGTGAGTATCCCAAGTCAACCTGGTGGGAGCGAAGTATATATATATATATATATATATATATATATATATATATGCGTGTGTTTATGACATAGGCATTTTGTTTCAACACTCCTGGTGTCTTATCAAGTGATGGTGGTAATGGTTAATTAAACAAGTTCCTATATGATATTGATATATATATATATATATATATATAGAGAGAGAGATAGATAGATCGATACGATCTGACTGAGATAGATAAATATCAACAGGTTGATATAGATAGAGAGATAGATATGAACAGACTGACCTCTATCGAAACCGGAACTGACTGTATTTGGTAGTCATATCCCAAATTATAATACGAACCAGAGGCGTAATGGTTAACGAACTTGTTTAATTAACCATTATCACCATCACTTGATAAGACACCAGAAGTGTTGAAACAAAATGCCTATTTTTGTAGTGATTTTTTAACATATTTATGTTATAATTTTCGAATAAATTATATATATATATATATATATATATATATATATATATACTAATGAATACTTTATTATTTTTGTTGACTATTAGTATTGCATTTACTTGTGTTTACCTTTTGTAGTTTGTTGATTTGTTTATTATTTACTTAATTTGTTTATCTATTAATAAATAATAAATAAATAAATTAAGTCAAGATGGTCTACAGATTACTTTCAAGCATGAAACAATCTGTCGCTGTTCGGAGCTGACTTCAGTGTACATTTATATATGTGTTTGTGTTTGTGTGCGTGTGTTTGAGTGCTGTGTATTCATATACATTTATATGTGTGTGTGCGTTTATACATATTATGTGTGTGTATTTCTTTCTATATGCAGGGTACGATGTGTAAATTGTCACCATTTTATATTTTTTATTTCGCGCATTCGCGTTGTTTGTTTTTATTTTGCCGACTGCGTAGTATAGTAGGGTCAGTTGGGCACCGTGTGTGCGAAAAAGAGCACCATGAGGCAATTCACTCCACCAGAAATTTAGAAACGGCAAGATGTGCTGCTTGGCATTCGCGTCGGAAGATCCATTATGAACATTTCAGAGTATTTGGGTGTCAATCTGTGGA